AAGCAGCCACCATCAACATTTTGGGTTCTTTCTTTCCAGTCTGTGAATTTTGTTTACAGTTGAGTTTAGGTTAAAAGTGTGATGTTGCATTCAACTTCATTCATTTACTATTATAGTGTAAACATTTTCTCTTGTGGTAGCAACTTATAAAAAATGGCTCCTCTCCTATAAGAAAAATCAAATGAACGTGAGATTCGTGGGATAGAGAAGGAACCGTGTAAAAGCAGAAGCTCGAACAAGGGCCTAGGAATGCAGTCCAGACTAGGGTGCATTCAAGGTCACTCCTGTCCCTACTGAAGACATTGGGTGGGAGAATATTTAACACATGCACAACTACGTAGGAAAAACGACTAAAAGGCAATGAACTAAGATATTAATAATGATGGTGTTCTCAGAGTGGGAAAGCACAGGTAATTTTCATTTTCTGTGTTATATAATTTTCTGTGCAATACAGAAAAAAAAGTACTGGGTCAGGATCTAAAATATTTCTAGTGCACACTTTTATCTTTCCAAGTAACTGGCTGGGTAATCCCAGGTACCTCTCCCCTCTGGATTTTGGTTTCCTGTGTGTAGTTTGAGGGAAATATTAGTCCTGCCACCCCACAAGGTGGGTTTCAGAAGTAGAAATCCTGGGTCATAGTGCACCTCCAAGAAGCTACCAGAAGATATGGCTGGATGACTCCCAACAATATGCCCTATAGTATCAAACGAGAAGCCTTTATGTGACACTTGGCTACTTCTAAAGAAACATTTCCGAATACTGTGTCTCATACATTTCTAGATTGCCTGAGTGACCTACTTTGGATGATTTTCCTTCTTCCCAACACTCTTTGAACCCATATTTCTTCAGCAGGGAGATGATGTAGTCCAAGCATAGACTTTGGAGTTAGACCAGGGTTTAAAACCAGCCTACCACTCACCTATGATTTCCTGTAGGCTACTCCACATCTGTAACCCTGAGTTTCTCCATCCACAAAGTGGGACTAATCCCACCTACTCATGGGGTTATCGTGAGGTCCTGATGAAACCCTGTATATGAAGGGCTTTGCACAGTGCCTGGGGGCTAACCAATACTCAGTCAATAACATTATTTATTTATAAATAAATAGGATTACGTAATAAAAGCATAGATATAATTTTGTAATGAATAAGATTGCTGTTTTTCACCCCAGGTAGCATTCCATAAATGTGTTACATACTCTGGAAATAGATGAAACTTTTTGGTTTTCCTAGGTCTATTCCAGGCTTTAGGATCTGCTGTTGTCGAGTCTGGCAGGCAAGGTCACTTTCAGCCTCTTCTTTTATTTCTTGCTTTTGTAGATTAAGATCCAATCTCCTCTCCACTTTCATCTTTTCAAATCTCCAAGACATGAATCTTTTTCATCTCCCTGCCAAGCTTAACATTAAGATTGGCTGCTCAGCTTCAACCAGGTAACAGCAGTCATGCTTCGGAAGTTCTGATCCATTCTCTCTGCAAGACGCAGGGGCTTAGTCCACTGTTGCTTAATAACAATACCTTATGCCAGGATCATGCTTTAGATTTTTTTCAAAGCGTAGTTGTATCTGCTGTCACGTTTAAACACACCAGCAATTTTGTGGAGTGAGCAAGGCAGGTCTTCCTATTCTTCGTGGCAGGTAGTGTGGTTCCCAAAGTGGGTTTCACAGAACATGATGTATTTTTTTTTTTTTTCCTCAATTAAGTTTGGAAAATACCGAAATAAGCAAAGCTAATCAAGCTTTTCAAAGTCTTTACCATAATGTGCAATGCAGTTCTTCAAGAGCTAGGTGCAGTGCTTCTCACAAGCTGGGTTTTTTTTCTTTCTTCCTTTTAACCACTTTTTCTAGAATATTCCATGGAATTATTGCTCCATAGAACCCACTTTGGATAAACTCATGGGGGTGGGAGTTTGAGAATGCAAGCCTTGTAAAAGGGCTTGGGAGTGGGGCAAGGTAAAGTTCAAATGCAGGTACCACCATTTGCCAGCTGAGTGCTCTTGTGTAAGCTTCTTACCCTCTCTGATCTCAGTTTGCTCACTTGTAAAATGGGGATGGTAATAGAATAGCCAGGATTAGAATAGGGAGTAAAGTACTTAACAGGATGCCTAACAATGATAAACATTCAATATACTTTAGCTTTTATTATTAGTCTCTTCCTCCATGTTATCCAGGAGAAAATTAGGCTTCAGAGAGTGTCTTAATTTGTTCTGTGTTGCTATAAGAGAATACCTGAGACTGGATAATTTCAAAGAAAAGAGGTTTATCTAGCTCTTGGTTCTGCAGGCTGAAACATTCAAGGCCATATCCCTGGCCTGTGATGAGGGCTTTCATATGGCATCACAACACAGCAGAGAACTCACCACCATGATAACAGCACCAAGCCATTCCTGAGGGATCCCGTGACCCCGGACACCTTCCTAGGCCCACCTCCCAACACTGCCACATTGAGGATCAAATTTCAACATGAGCTTTGGTGGGGACAAACAAACCACCTTATCCAAACCAAAGAAGAGGGGTTAATTTCCCAACCTTACATGGATGTTTAGTAGCATGGTTGAGTGTTGTAAGTTCAAGGCTCTGTTCGCCTATGGGAGCCATATCCCTTTGTTCTCCACTGATCCGCTTACCCCGGCTAACCATCTTTGGGGTTTCAATTCCATTTCCTTTGGCAGATGTTGGGACTTTGTGAGCTTCAAGTGTAAATGACAGTATTTGGCTAACTATTACTAATATAAAAATACTATCATTACAATGTCACGGCTGCTTCCCACCAATTGGTAGCAGCCTTGCCCTGGGCCTCCACTAGGAGTCGGCTTCTCTTCCTCAGGACCTGGGTTCTGCCTGTTACGATGCTACCCCACCTTCAGTCAGAATGGGATGCTGTGGTTTCCCATTTTTCCAGCTCGCAAACTCTGCAAGCAGCAACACCTCTGATTTTGTCGCCTCTTCCGCAGCTGCAAGCACAGGGCTTATAGGCGCTTTACTAGATACCTGTGCTAGATACAAGCTGTCCCGCTCCCCTCTGCCCACCTTGTTGCATGGACAATGACTTGGCTGCATGGAGAGGGCTGACTGTTTGGCATTTCATTTCTCCCTCTTTTGTCAAAGCCAACACAGGGAGGATCATTGTGGCTTAAAACTCTGTGCTCTTCAGCCTTGCAAACATGGACATAGACTCACGCATGTCTCCAGGAAGCCAATGTGTGGCTCACTCTGTAGATCAACTTTCCCATGATCAACTGCTAGGGCAGGGCGGGTGCTGTGGAATCAGGGCCAGCGTGCACTGCCCAACCCCTTCTCACAAAGAGGCTCTAATCTCTCCCACTCTCCTCCTACAGTCAACTCAGACTCTGCAGACAAATCTGGCTTCTATCCGTTTTCAGCTGTCTCAATACCCACCCGTGCCTCGGATCTCAACTGGGACATGATACCATCCCTGGGGTAGGGCCCTAGGACACCACTGGAGCCCTGATATTGGTGGACTGCACCAAAGCACTGCTGCACCTCTTTCCTAAACATCACTAACATCCTGTTTCAAAAGTTCTGACTTTGCAATATTGCAAGGAGCCAGTGAAAGATGCTGACAGTGTATAGCAAACTTGCAGCCACAGCTGGCTTGGGTGACACAACCTTTCTGAGTTGCCCCAGGCCTCACCCTCTTCTAGAGATGGCTCTGCCTGACCCCTCCAGCCCCACTGGATGACCCCTTCTGGGCCCTTGTCGTATCCTGGGTTTTCCCCATCATAGCAGTTGCTACATTACAATGCCATCACCTGTTTGATTGGCACAGCACTTCTCAGATTTTAGTAGGCAGACAACTCACCTGGATCCTGTTAAAATGCAGATTTCAATTTAGGATGTTGGAAAGGCCAGAGAATCTATTTTTCTAACCAGCTGCCTGGTGATGCCCGTGTGACTGGTCCATGGACCATACTTTGAGTAGCAAAGACCGATTGTTCTGAACTTTGGCTACACATTAGAATCACTTGGCAACATTTGAAAAATACCATTGCCCAGGCCCCACTTGAGCCCAGTTGTATCAGAATCTCTTGGAGCAGCGCCAGGGTATCAGGGATTTTTAGACACTTCCTAGGTGATTCTAGATTACAGCCAGAGCACAGGAGCCCTGAGACTGGCTATGGGCTCCATGGGGGCTGGCATCCATCTGCCTCGCTCTCCACTGTTTTCTAGCTCCAAGTCCAGTGCCTGACCCTGGCAGGTATCAGCAGGTGGGGCTTGTGGTTGACCTTGCATAGACACTTAGCTTCTATTTTTCTCGTTCAGAGCTGGCCCCTGCCAACATAGTGTGCTGAGCAGGCAAGAGTCAGCCCATTTCTGATTAGGTGGATTTAGGAGGCTGTTGCACTTGGACTGTGGTGTGGCTTCTATACTTGTGTTGACCCAGTCCTGCAACTGATTAGTGTCACATGAGGAGGATACGTTCCTCCAAGAAGTCTTCCCTGCCCCTCTACTCCTTCCCAAGGCTGCTGCCAGTGTCCTGTCTGGAGCCAGCATCTCTCACAGAGTGTATTTGAGCCTCAGAATCCTTTTCAACACAGAGAAGCTCACCCAGCAGAGTGCTCTCCTCCATTCTTCCTCTCTACTTCCTGGACAGGTCTCTACCACAGCCCTCAAAGGGCTGCATTTAATTGCTTTGGGGGTGCATTTTTTCTTCCAGATGGGAAGCCCTTCAATGACAAGGATAGTGTCATGTTCATTTTTGTATCTCCCATGTCTGGCACAATGGGTTGCTGAATGAATGAATGAAATGAATGAATGAATGAATGAATGGCAGTACCCAGCAAGGGGACTCCCAGAGAGGACAAGGGGGTCCTTGCAGTGGCATGCCAAGAATGCTCTGAATTGCTGCGGGGTTGGGGAGAGGGTGGCACCTCTGTTTCGGTGACTTGGTGTCCTGGGGGTGGCCTGGTGGTCTTTACCCATCCATTGAGCCAGGTTGGGGGTTGACTTTAGTTACCGGCTCCTCATCTTTGTCTTCTCAGAGCTGTGAGCACTGCCACCTGCTCACCCACTCTCCCTGGCCCCAGAGCACAGTCCGTGCTGGTGGGAGTGTGACAACTGGCCGCCCAGCAACGGTCCAGGAAGATGAGTGCCTGCGGGAGGAAGGCCCTGACCCTGCTGAGCAGCGTCTTTGCTGTCTGTGGCCTGGGCCTCCTGGGTATCGCGGTCAGCACCGACTACTGGCTGTACCTGGAGGAGGGTGTGATTGTACCCCAGAACCAGAGCACCGAGATCAAGATGTCCCTGCACTCAGGCCTCTGGCGGGTCTGCTTCCTTGCAGGTAAAGGTGCACAGGGTTGGGGACAGCCCTGCCCCCTGACATCACCTGCCCCAAGAGGTCCCTCCCTGGGAAGAGATGGCCAAGAGATGCTGGAAGGAGACTGTTCACCACGGATGATCCCTATATATGGGCACCATCCCTATATGTGGTGCTTCCTGCAGTGACTGGGACCCTGTTCCAAACTCAAGTCCTGATTCTCAATGTCCATTTGAGCCAGTCTTTTCACCTCCCAGGTCTTCCTTCCTGAAAGATGAATGTAACTATGCCTTCCCCCCACTCTGCTCCCAGGACTGGATGCGAATGACACTGCACAGATCTCAAATGTTCATGCATGCCTTAGCTCACTGAGGTATTGATCCCATATAATCCTCCCAACAATACTGCAAGACAGTACTTGTTATTTCCACTTTGCAAATGCAGAAATGAAGATTCAAAGAGGTTAAGTCTCCTTAACTCAGGTTCCTTGCATCCACTAGTTTATAGAATAGAAGATACTTGGTAGTTTCTCTGTTCCTCCATAAAATGGCACAGAGGAAATGCATGAGCAGGTCCCTCCAGCTTCTGCTGCATGGTAGAGGTTTTGACCCCACTTATCTGGACCTGCCTTTTTACTCACTAGGGCTTCTCTGTAACCCTTCAAGTTACCACTCCAAGAATTCTATCCTTTATCCCTTTATCATGGCCCAAGACTAGCCTGCACAAGAAAAGCATATCCAAGTCATACAAGACTAGCTGGCAAGCCTGGGCTGGCCTGGATTGCCACAGTGTGGTCACTGGGCTTTTCTTGGTAGGGACCTGTAACTTATGTGTGCATTGGGAAGACACACAGTTTGGCTCTCCCAGCCTTTTTCCTTCCAGCTTTATAGTACAGCTTTGGGGGTTGGAGTGGGTATTTGTTCCCACCAGTATTTAGCAGGGAAGATATCTCAAGGTGTTGAGTCTGCCATGGGAATGGCATCCAACTCTGACTTCTTCTACCCCAGACTGCATGGCATTGGTCTGTGCTTAAATCTGGAGTTTGAAGTCACTAGGATCTGGTTTCCAGGGTGGTTGACAAGGCTTTTGGAGTTCTGCTCCATGACACCCACACTGGACAATCTAAGTCAGCTATGCACCATTGTCAGCCCCATCTGGCCAAACGCAGTGAGATGGCACCAGTTGTTCACTCAGCATGGAGAGTTTGCAATACCAACCTCTTTTCATGTGACTCTTGGTGCTTGGGTCCATCCTCACACAGGTGCTTCTCCAGGAAGGTTGTCATGTCAGGACATGCCTCCACCCCTGCTGTGGGCTATATGCCAGGGACAGGACCCCCATAGGGTTTGGATCCAGCTCAGGTGCAAAGACACAGCAGGTCAAAGATGCTAAAAACACTTGGAAATACCATTTGAATGAACTAACTTCAAATCCATGTTCAAGAAGGACCTGGAAATGTGATTCTTGTCTCCACAGGTGAGGAGCGGGGGCGTTGCTTCACCATAGAATATGTGATGCCCATGAACACCCAGCTGACATCCGAGTCCACAGTCAATGTTCTGAGTAAGTGCCTTGAGTCTGGCAACCTGGGCCACTGGCTGGACAGAGAGGAGCAGGGCAGAGGGAAGAGTCAGGGTACCAGCATATTTCTCAAGAGGAATGCCCTTAGACTCCACTGGGTATGCTGACCTGAGTTCACTACAGCTTAATTTTCCAGTAGTGAAAACAGGTTGCTGGAGTCTCCTAGTCTACTGACCCGGGCATCAATCAGGGAACTGAGCTCCCTGGATCCCAGGGAGCCTGACTTTATGGCCTTGACCTCAACAGAGTCAGTTCTACCCCCAGTATGAACTTGCAATATTGCAATGCTATTCTGATACTAATCGCCTGGAGTTAACAGAGACTCCACAGGTTTAAGGTCTCAGCCCCTAGCATGACTACCCTTATTTCAGATGCCAGCTACAAGTTCAGAGGTCCCTGGCCTCCTGCACTTCTGACCAATTAGTTCCAAATATGGGAGCTCCCGTAACTCCGTCAGGTTCAATAATTTGCAAAAATGACTCACAGAACTCAGGAAAGTGCTATACTTACCATTCCAATTTTATTACAAAGGACACAAATCAGGACCAGCCAGATGAAGAGACACATAGGGCAAGGTCTGGGGGTGGGTCCTGAATGTGGAGCTTCAGAGTCTTCTCTCCACGGAATCAGGTTGTGTCACCATCTTCACACATTGATGCGTTCATCAACCAGGAAGCTCAACTGAGCTTTGGTGTCCAGAGTTTTTATTGGGTTTCAGTACATAGGCATGATTGAGTACATTATTGATCATGTAACTGAACTCACCCTCCAGCCCCTTACCTTCCCTAGAGGCCAGACTGATATCACCTGGCTCAAAACCCCAATCTTCTAATCCCGTGGTTGGTGTTTCTGGCCCCCATCCTGAGTCACCTGGTAAGCAAAAACTCAGGTGTGGTTGAGAGACCTACTGTGAATAATGGAGACACTCCCATCCTTGGAAAATTCCAAGAATTTAGAGGTTATCTCTCAGGAACCAGGGACAAAGACTAGCCCCAACAGAACTGCTACCCAACTAATTACAAGTTGAAGAAAACAGAGGCTGTAACTGTCCCCTGCACCATTCAGAGCAACCCCTTGCCCAAGGAAATGGTGAATCTGCCTGGAAGAGGAAGCAAGATGGAATGACCTGGCCCTTCCACAACTGCCGTATTTTCCGGCAGTATGGACTCCATATTGGCAGACAATGTAGACCCCCAGGAGGGTAGCAGCTTATGCCTGGGGGAAATGACAGAGGCCCTGAAGATGCTGACACTTGAAGTCAGGCCTTCCAGGCCCACCTCAGGGACAAAAGTCTTGCTAATAATGGGAGATCCCCAGGCCACCTGATAGGGGTAGAGTCTGGGGAACCCCTGCAGGGGTGGGGATTTGAGGACCTGTTGGTAGACACTGCCAGGAACACTCAACTCGAAATGATGAGGAATGAGTCAGGCCTGGAGACTAACAGGCTGCCCTTTTGTCCTGTTAATTAGAGATGATCCGCTCAGCCACACCATTCCCTCTGGTCAGCCTCTTCTTCATGTTCATTGGGTTTATCCTGAGCAACATTGGACACATCCGTCCCCACCGGACAATACTGGCCTTTGTCTCTGGCATCTTCTTTATCCTCTCAGGTAAGTTGTGTTGTTTTCTTTCCTTGCACCCTGAATTTTTTTTTTTTTTTTTTGGAGAGAGTCTTGCTTTGGCACCCATGCTGGAGTGCAGTGGCACGATCTCGGCTCACTGCAACCTCCACCTCCTGAATTCAAGCAATTCTCCTTCCTCAGCCTCCCAAGTAGCTGAGATTACAGGTGCCTGCCATCATACCTGGCTAATTTTTGTATTTTTGGTAAAGGTAGGGTTTTTCCATGTTGGCCAGGTTGATCTCAAACTCCTGAGCTCAAGCGATCCAACTGCCCTGGCCTCCCAAAGTTCTGGGATTATAGGCATGAGCCACCATGCCCGGCAACCCTGGACTTTTGCTGTTTAACTCCCAAATGACTCTGCATTGGGAACTCCTGGAATTAGGACAGGCTGAGTCAGTCATCCAGACAGAATTGAGTCAGAGCTGGAGGAAACATCTGAGGACCCTGGGCCCATTATTATCTTCCAGAAGAGCAACAGAGGCTCCACAGGAGGGGTGACTGCACAGGCTCCCCTCAGGCAAATCTGGGATTGGAACCCAGGGTTCCTTCCTCACTCCACACATCACTACCCCTAAGGACTTTTTAATTCCCACTATCTTGAGTATTCCTGTTTTTGAAGGGGCTACGTCTTCATATTTGTGCATGAATATTAAACACAATCTGCCTTTGGAATAATGGATCCTTCACCCCCCCCATCCCCCAGCTGTCCTCCCGAGACTCCTGCTGTCTCCTTCCCTCTCCAGTCACACACCACACCATAAACCCTCCTAGACCCCTTCAACATGGACTTGTCTTCCTGGACTGATGCCAGGTTGTACTTCAGTTTTCTTCTTTTTATTCATTCATGGTATCTACCAGGACTTATTCTGGCTGCTGGCATCACTGCCTACAAAAAGGGCAGTGTAATGGGAGATACAAACAGTAGACAGGAGATAGGAACCCAGTGTGAATAGGACTATGAATGGTGGCCAGCAAGGACTGCAATGGGGGTCAAGACCAGTGGCTGAAACTCAGGGCAAAGATTGGTCATGGAAGACTACCAGGAGGAGGCAAGCTAGAGGATGAGTAAGCATTAGGCAAAGAAGTGAGGTTGGGGGTGGGGGTGGAAAAGTAGCCTGGAGGGAAGAGGGAGGATGAAGCATTGGGGGAACTGAGTGTAATCATAGCTCATCATGGCAGGTGCAAGGAAAACTGTAGTGAGAAGAGAGACTGGGGAAGGCATCTGAGGTCATCTTATGGATTTCGGACTTTAGGAGAAGCCTTAGATGGATTTTGAGCCAAGGGATGACATGATTGGGTTTGGATTTTAGAATGACCATGCTGGGGAATGGAGGCAGGGAGGGAAGCAAGACAGGAGGCAGGGAGACTAGGCAAGAGGCTATTCCAATAGTAGAGGTGATGGCCCAAACAGGGGGTTGATGGTGGAGAAGAAAGAAATGAGAGGGTTCGAGTGACATTCGAGAGGTAAACTCAACAGAACTAGGATGAGGCTTCCAGGGAAGAGTCAAGGTGAGTGCCAATTTCTTGCTTGAGCACTGGGTAGATGGCATATCACATCATTGATTCAGGGATCACAGAGAGAAGGAGCAGATTTGGGCAGATCATGAGTTTAGTGTGGGAAATGCTGAGTTTGAGGTATCCTTCTGACATCTGGGAAGAGGTGTCTGGAAGGCTGCCAGAGGTCAGCGTCTGGGGCTCATGGGAGTGGCTTGGACCAAAGACAGAGATTGGAGAGCTATCAGCCTAGGGAGTGGGCATGGATGAGATTACTCATAGCTGGTGTGTAGAGTGAGAAGGGGAAAGAAAACAGTAAATAAAGGTGGACTCTTTCTCCTTTTCAAGATGACCTGTGGAGACCTTTTCTTTTGGAGATAGTGACTCGGGCCAAAGAAGTGGCTCTTGGGGCATGTAATTTAGGTGCCCCGGACTGACTGGTTAGGGATCCTGGGGAGAAGATATTTGGATGGAAAATGGATGGGTGAATAGCTTGAATAATTGATGGATGGATGGATGGAAAGAAAGGAAAAACAGCTTTTGGATATCAAGCATTCTGATTACCACCTGACTCCTAAGTAATTTTAGGATCCTTTTCCCAATATTTTCTTGTCAACATAGCTTGGGAGTCAGATGGCAGTCAGAAAGTCTGATGCCCAAGAGCCACTCTTTCTTTCTCCTTCCATTCATCCATCCACCCACCCACCCATCCATCCACCCACACACCTACCCACACTTCTTTCCATCCATCTGTCCATCCATTTTTCAATCTACCCACCAACCCATCATCCATCCATTCTTCCATCTATCAATCCATCCTTCCACCCTTCCATGCATCAACCCAACACATATTTATTGAGCACCAGCAATGTCATCAGCCCAGCCTTTCCATGGTGATATTTCCACATAGTCCAAGAGGTACAGACCTAGGGTTAAGCTTTTTCTTTTTCCGTCTGTGAACTTCATGATAGCCAAAGCTATAAACAGTAGCTTTGACATACATGAGGTTTTTCAGCAGTGGGCTACAGGATCAGAAATCTAGGATTGAGATGGGCCACATGAAGTCATTTCAATCATAACAATAAAGAGGGTTCATTTAGGGCACCAATGATTCAAACATAAGTACTAGGAAGATTTCAGTCACACCAGTTTTCCTTTAGCATTCATCCTTCCAGATGCCCTAGTTTCATAAAATAATGCGAGTGGAATTAAACCTGAACAGCTCAAAACAGAGTAATTAATTATGTCTTGATTCAATTACAGTTACTAATTGATAGAACTGATGCCTGAAGCAGTCATTTGCACGATGGCAGTAGGAGGTTGGTCCCCCCTGGCCTCCCGATTTAAAGCTTGCCAAAATCTGGACAAACTCCCTTTACCTCCCCTACCTAAAGATCTCAGACAGGCCACACCTTGTGGTCAAATGGGTTACATAGACCATGGACCACATGGGGGCACTCCACAATGATAGGTGCCACCTACTATCTTGGCTCTGTCTGCCCAGGGGGCCTATTTTACCCTTCAGTTCTGTAAAAGCCACTTTCTAGCTCAGTGGTTCACAGCCCTCTTAAGAAAATGCAATGCCAGGCACAGTGGCTCACGCCTGTAATCCCAGCACTTTGGGAGGCCGAGGCGGGCGATCACTTGAGGTTAGGAGTTCGAGACCAACCTGGCCAACATGGAGAAACGTCGTCTCTACTAAAAACACAAAATCAGCCGGGCATGGTGGCAGGCACCTGTAATCCCAGCCTCGAGGGGCTGAGGCAGGAGAATCACTTGAACCCAGGAGGCAGAGGTTACAGTGAGCCGAGATCACGCCATTGCCCTCCAGCCTGGACGACAAGAGTGAAAATCCACCTCAAAAAAAGAAAATACAGTGCCAGGTCCTCATCCCAGACCAGGTGTATCAGAATGTCCAGAGCTGGGGCTCAGGCCTGTGTGGCAGATACACACAGCAGGGTGAGAATGACTGGGCTTAGCCCATGGCTTAGGAGGGCAGCTATATAGGAGCTTCTTCCCTGAAACTATCTGCTGTCTAGAAGGTGCTGGTCTAAACAGGGTGCTCGGGAGGAAAGTTTCTGCTCTCCTTTGAACTCCACTGAGAGCATTGTTACCCCAAGGCCGGCGGCTTTGCTCCTGAATTGCAAAGGGAGGTGGGTGCCACCTCAGCAAACTTCCCCTCTTCCCTGCTGCCCAACCAGGCCTCTCTCTCGTGGTGGGCCTGGTGCTCTACATCTCCAGCATTAACGACGAGATGCTCAACAGGACCAAAGACGCAGAGACCTACTTCAACTACAAGTATGGGTGGTCGTTTGCCTTCGCCGCCATCTCCTTCCTTTTAACGGAGGTAAAGCCCGTCACCCTAAGTAGGGATAGGCTGGGGCTGGGTGTCGTCCCACTGAGCCAGGGAGAGTGGGGAGAGGGGACATTCCACAAGCATTTTGGACCCTGGACCACCCACCCTACTTCCCTTCCTCATCCCAGAATGTGTCAGTCTTACCTTCCTGGGTCTCCTCCAACCAGGATGTCCCCAGGGCCCTGCTTCTGTCCCCACGTTCACTTCCCACCCTACTCAAGCTGTGTCCTGTGCAAACCCCAGACAGGGGAGATGAGGCAGGCCCCAGCAGTGAGCCGTCCTCTGCTGTCTTCTCCCTGTAGAGTGCCGGGGTGATGTCTGTGTACCTGTTCATGAAGCGGTACACCGCGGAGGACATGTACAGGCCCCACCCTGGCTTCTACCGCCCTCGGCTGAGCAACTGCTCCGATTACTCAGGCCAGTTCCTACACCCAGACGCCTGGGTCAGGGGCCGCAGCCCCTCCGACATCTCCAGCGAGGCCTCCCTGCAGATGAACAGCAACTACCCCGCCTTGCTCAAGTGCCCTGACTATGACCAGATGTCCTCTTCGCCCTGCTGAGCCTCGGCCTCCCCCATCCCTGGACTGTGGGTGGCCAAACCACCCTTCCTGTTCTCTCCAGGTGACCCCTGAGCCCCAGGCCTGTGGTTGACAGGCCCAGGCCACCCATGCTTAGATGTTGTCACTTGACCCCAGTCCTCTCCCTGCTTCTCCAGAAGGGCTCTAACTGCCCCAGCGTGGGTGTGGGAGTCTGGAGTCTGCAGGCAAGTTGATTGTCTGGGAACGTGGGAGAAGCCCCGCCCATGTGAGTGCCAATCACAGCAGTGGCTCCAGGAAGCCAGCAGGTCCCCACAAGCCCAGGAGAAACCGATATTCCCTCTGTATATTCTTCCTGCACCCCCAACTTCATGGCCCTAGGTCAGGGCCAGCTCTGAGATGCCAAGCTCCCTACACAGATGCAGCTGGACTTGTGCACTTGCCAACTGGCCTGGCCATTCACGTTCAAGATCTGCACCCTCTGGCTGAAAGGTGACTCTGATACAGAGGTCTGGCTGGCTTAGACACGTCAAGCTGGCAGTGTTCTTTCTGAACCCTTTTTCCCTTTTTGTCACCCATGTCCCTCCACGTGACACACCTGTCCGTGCTCTTCCCTCCCCGACACAGGCTGTGAACCTTTTCTCCTTGCCTCACACCAGAACTCAGCTGCCCTGGGCCCTGGCCCTAAGGGACTAAGGGTGGCTCTGAGGTCACACTGATGAAGTCACAAAGAGGTGTTAATGGCTGAAGACATGGTAATATGTATGGCCCTTTGATAACATATTTTACAAGAGCCTTTTATGCCTTAACCCAAATAACTGATTCTGACAATGAGAATTTTAGAATTGGGCTGGTCTGAGTTCCTATTACCAGATCCTGTTTCTGGTCCTGGGGATACTGCCCCCTTACAAGGTCAATATTTCCGGACCAAGGCCCTAAGATGGAATCTTGTAGACTGCTAAACCACCTAAGTGGAAGGTAGCCTTTGAAGAGGCTGCCTGGGAGTGGGAGCTGGATTTGATGACACCTGGTGCGTCTTGAGTTCAAACAAAGGCAGACTTGGAATAATCCAGCTGCTCTCCGAAGGCTGCCTGTGAACATTTGGGGGTTGCCAATTTAATCCTAATATAGAGGAGTGTCTGCTTCCTGGGTGTAGGACAGATGTAGGCAAATCAGATTTTTCCAGAAGACCAGGCAGTGTGACACCCATTCTTCTGGTGGGAAACCGGACCTAAGGGGGTTTTAATCACCTTCCGTAAGTCCACAGAAGCCACTGCAAGTCATGCACCCCTTAGCTCTCCAAGTGTCCGCTCAGCTTAGACGTTTTTGGTTTTGAGATTTTGAGTAGCAAAACAATGCTGTGTGTCGCTATTCTGCCTGCTCTCCTCTTGCCCTCTTTAAGACGCCGTTAGGTTCTGAGAACAGAAAGCCATGATGGCGATACATGGACTCTAGCATGTAGTCCAGAAAGCTGCACATCTGTTGTGTGCAGCCTTGGAGGGGCTGTGTGTTAGGCAGCTGGGCTGCCATAATGAACTACCACAGGCTGGATGGCTTAAAAACACACATGAATTTTCCTACAGTTCTGGGGACCAGAGTCCAAGATCAAGGTGTCGGCAGGATTGGTTTCTTCTGAGGCCTCTGTCCTTGGCTTGCAGACGGCTACCTTCCTGCTGTGTCCTCATGTGGTCTGTGTGCCTGTGTCCCCGGTGTCCCTCAGTGTGTCCAAATTCCCTCTCCTGATACAGACACCAGTCAGATTGGATTTGGGTTCATCCCCAATTAATTGGTGGTTAATTTTCATGAAATAACCTCTTTAAATGCTCTATCTCCAAATATAGTCATTCTACAAATGAATTTAGGAAAGACAGAGTTTAGCCCATAACAGGTATTTTGTTGTTGGATTCTTCCATGTGTCTCACAGCATGGTAGAGGAGAAAGATAAGAGAAGCCAGTTCTGGTCCCAATGTAGCCACTCATTCACCACGAATCCTTGAGCAACACCCTTCCACTCTGAGGGGCTTGGCCTAAATGGTTTCCAAGCCCACTCTCCTCCTACCCACCCACAACTCCAATGACTCAGCCTCCTGTGGGAGGCTCCCTGTTGCTTTTGTATGTGGCTTTTCAATCCTTACCTATAAACTGATAGCAATTGTGAGGCCCCCTTCCCTCTCCACTGGCACCCTTGCAATGACTGTTGTATTCTTCAGTTACTGTTTACAGGGTAATACCGAAACCATGTTCTCCCCACAACAAAGTAAAGGAATCCGTTTTTGTGCTTGGAGACAGTTAGATAGCGTTTCCAAACTGGACAATCATTTAGGTGAGCTCTACTCCAATTTTTATCAATGTAATTAGCTCTTAATTGCACTTTTCTCTCTCTAGAACACTTTCTCTGTCACTGTGCCAAGCTTGTTTTTTGTGCACCTGGAAAAAATAGAATCCACTCCTAAATACAAGCTGATTGTGGAGTCAGACATTACTGGGTTTGGTCTTTACTGGCCCTGATGCTGAGCTGCTAAATGAAGGAGCCCTTAGCCTGGGAAGATGTGGTTTGCCCGCATCTTAGGAACAGGTTCTGGGCCATTTTTTTCCCCATCGGGGGTGGGTGAATGTGTCAATAATCATACTACCATCACAATTTCCTTTTTGTCTATAAATTCATCTCAGAATCAGGGCCTAGTTGCAGCCTCTCCTCAATCAGGAGATTTTTACCAAGCATTAAACATGTACAAACTCAACTCAGAAATCATAAATTAGGGTCTCTTCTTCAATATACATTCTGATCTTTTGTTTCCTCAAGCACTGTAAAAAAATGGGAGGGGATAATAACACTAATAAACCCAAGTGTTATGAATTATGGAATAAAATGACTTGGGGTAACAGGGAACAATCTGACATTGGTTCCCTCACACCTGGAACTCACTACCCATTTTTTTTTTTTTTTTTTTTTTGTGAGACGATGTCTTGCTCTGTCACCCAGGCTGGAGTGCATGTAAGAGTTAAAGAAAGAGGAAAGAACCACAAAAAGTGGCTCAACAGTCAAAGACAGGTTTATTTTGGAGAATAAACCTGAGAGGGGCTTCTGGATGATTTCGGTCAGGAGCACTCTCTCCTACAGACTAAGAGTATTTATTGGTGAAAGAGCTTGGACTGTTTCTGTGTGGGGGAGAAGTTTATGGCAGGGTTGGAACGTCTCTGGTCAGCAAGAGGTTATCTTGGGGCTGACATCTCTCTGGCTGGAGGGGAGGCTATCTCAGGGCTGGCATGTCTCTGGTCGGGGAGGGGTTTAGAATAGTTCTGGTTAGAGATGTCATTTGTGGTTTATGGTCATGCTGACCTTAGCCATTAGGCTGACATCCTTTGGATTTAGGTGGTTTTTGATCAAGGTGAACTTTAAAATGGCAGTGCTTGTACAAGATGGTGAAGCTCCTGCTCTGTCAGTGCAGTGGTGCGATCTCAGCTCACTGCAACCTCTGCCTCCTGGGCTCCAGCAATTCTCCTGCCTCAACCTCCCAAGTAGCTGGGATAGCAGGCATGCACCACCATGCCCAGCTAATTTTTGTATTTTTAGTAGAGATGGGGTTTCCCCATATTGGCCAGGTTGGTCTCGAACTCCTGACCTCAAGTAATCCGCCTGCCTTGGCCTCCCAGAATTCTGGGATTATAGGCATGAGCTACTGTGCCCATCCCCTCCTACCTTCTTTCTTGTCCCATGGGTGAGTCAGTGATGTCCTCCCAGCCCCACCAGTGACCTTCAGAAGAATTCCGTGTTACCAGGGCTGCATGCAGAGCTGGGGTGGGGGTGTGGGGGAAATCCACAGGTGCCACAGGCTTATCAGTGGTGTCCCTAGAGAACCACATGTGGGGGGCACCGCTCCTTAATGTTTCAGTAACTCTCCCTTCTCCCTAGATACAGGGGGTCTATTAGGGTTCTCTAGAGAAACAGAATCAATAGGATCAATATATAGAAAGAAAGATTTATTTTAAGAACTTAGCTCAAGAAGTTGTGGAGGCTTGGTGAGTACAACCAAAATATGATGGCGGAGGCTGGTGGGCTAGAGACCCAATGAGGACTTGCAGTTCGAGTCTAAACTTGCAGTCTCCTGGCAGAAATCCTGGCTGCTCAGGGTTAGTCAGCCTTTGTTCTATTCAGGCTTTCAGTGAAATGGTTGAGGCCCACCGACGTTAGCAAAGGTAATTGCTTTACTCGGTGTCCACTGATTTAAATGTTAGTGTCATCCAAAACACACCTTCACAGGACAGTTAGAAAAGTGTTTGGCCAAATATTTGGGCAGCATGGTGGCCCAGCCGCATTGACACATAAAACTAACCATTGTAAGTGGAGAAAGGACAGTGGAGGCCAGGGGAGCCACATTCCACCAAGGCCTGAGTAAATTGGTGCCTGGGCTCTGTTCCTTCACCAGCTGCCTGGATTTTGGGTACAAAGGCCCACTGGCAGCTCTGCAAGTCTTGACTTTCTCCCCATACTCAGTGAACCACTCTCATAGGCTCGTGTGACACTTGGAAGTTAACTTGCCTTTGGAACACAGCACTCTGCCTAGGGAGGGGGTGCATAAGTGGATGGATGAGTGGATTCTGCCTAATGCGCCTGTGCCTGGGGCCTGGCTAGCACTGTGAGTGTGGGTTCATCCATGGCAGCAGTGGCTGCTCCATGTGCCATAGAAGAGATGAGGCTCAGTGGTCACCACTACAGGGGGTGGAGGGTGGTACACTGGAGCCAGCCAGAGCCCCCACCAGGGCTGCTTTTGCTCTTTGGGTTCCAGGCATGCAGATGAGTGAATAGGAACTGAGCAGGTGCCCCTCTAGCATCCACATCTCCCAGGACAGGCGCTGGGGCCTCATGTCCTTAGTACTGGCAGAGCTGAGGTCTCTGGAGTCTCACATCCCTGAACCAGGATCCTGGGCCTCTACTCTGTGACCCTGGACATGTTACAACCTTCTGGGCCTGCCTCCACTTTCTGGTGTGTGAAGCCAGGACTCCGTGTGTGCTCACTGTGAGGCTAAGATTTTCTGCCTGGGTGGCCCTGTCCTTGAAGGTTTGCATGCACGGGTTCCCTGTCCTGCTGGTTCAGAGACCTGAGTTCTATCGGGTGCTGCTGAGCCCTCTGTGTGTTACCAGCAGCCCTCCAGACTTCTGTCTTTTCATTCCTATAATGGTGGGGTATAGGTAAAATCACCTCATCAGGCTCTGTCCTCAGACTCTATCCCCAACTCTAGAGGCCGTAAGTTTTACAAGCAAAATGCAACCAAGCTCAAGTAGTAGACTCCTCCCAGCGCCTGCCTCCTGATGGAGGCACCCAGATGACAACACCCCAAAGAATGTGGAATTTAGCTAAGAGATCAGATACTCGCGGCACCACAAGGAAGAATAAGATTTATGCATAACGGAGTGCACATGGCAGGCAGTAGCAGTGGGGAGACAGTTGAGAGAGAGGAAGGCAGAATTCTGCTGCCTTTATTCATGAGTTGGTAGCAAGATGGCAACAGTGATTCCAAACATCCTATCAAGATGCAACAGCATCAGAGGGAAGAGAAGGGTGGTCTTTTTCTCTATGTTTTTCCAAGGAACAAAGACAACTTTCCCAGAAGCAACCCCAGCAGACTTCATGTCATGTCTTGTTGGCCAAAACCAAGTCACATGCCCATTCCTAAACCACCATCTGGCAAGGGGAACAGGGTGGCCGTGTGCTCCAGTTATTTATTAATATACAACTAATTGCCCCAAAACTTACTAGGTTAAGACAGCAACAATCATAATTTTTTTTTTTTTTTTTTTTTTTGAGACGGAAACCCCCTCTGTCACCAAGCTGGAGTGCAGTGGCACGATCTTGGCTCACTGAACCTCTGCCTCCCGAGTTCATGCCATTCTTCTGCCTCAGCCTCCCGAGTAGCTGGGACTACAGGTGCCAGCCATCATACCCAGCTAATTTGTTTGGGTTTTTTTTTTTTTTTTTTTGGTATTTTTAGTAGAGACGGGGTTTCACTGTGTTAGCCAGGATGGTCTCGATCTCCTGACCTCGTGATCGACCCTTCTCGGCCTCCCAAAGTGCTGGGATTGCAGGCATGAGCCACTGCGCCCAGCCCATATCATGATTATTTCTGACAGCTTTAGGGGTTGGCTGGGCTCAGCAAGGCAGTTGGAGTCAGACAGTGGCTGTCATTTCAAAGGCTTCCCTGCACATTGGTCTGGCAATTGGTGTCCACTGGGACTTCAGCTAAGGTTGTCACTAGAACACCTATGCACACAGTCTCTTCTTAAGGCCTGGTCCTCCTCATAGGGTGACAGCTTGGTTTTAAGAGTAAGGGTCCCAAGAGACAGGAAGAAGCTTCATTGCCTTTCTGGAAGCAGCCTTTGAAATTACCTCATGTCATTTCCATCATAATCCCCAGACTACCCAGATTTATAGAGAAGAGAACATAGATCCCACCATCTCAGATGTAAGGAGTGTCAGAGTTCCATTGTGAGGAGCGCATGAGAGATGGGATCTATGGTAGCAACCATCTTTGAGAAATACAATCTCAAGCACCATGATTGGCTTTGACCAGTGAGTTATTCTCCCAGCCTGGAGATTCTGAAGTTACTGTAGGGTGGGCCCTGAGGGTCTGTTTCTCTAACAAGCTACCAGGCGATGTCAAGGCCATGATAGGCTCTAGGCTCTCGGGGTTTAGTTCCAGATCTCTGAATTTTTTTAAAGCTCTCCAGATGGTTCTAATATGAAACCAGGGTTGAGAACCACTGGCTTAGATCTACTGGGATTTATCACTGTAGCTGGGGATAAGGCCACCTTCTCCTGAGTCTGGCTGGGGAGTAGCATCCCAAACAAAATGCAGGAAAAGAAGGGAGAATGGTGCTGGGTGGACCCCTGAGGAGGTGGAAGCCCCAGGGACACCCCCTTGCTCTGTCTCAGCCTGCACAGGTTCCACCTCCTTTGACAAGGCTGTGCCTGGGGCAAGATGCCAACTTCATAGGCTCATGCCCAGCCTCTCTGCTCCTGAGCCCTTTCCTCAAGGAGCTGGTATTCACTGGTATGCAGCTAGAGCCTGCCCCTGGAAAGAGGATAGTAGAGGTCAGCATTCTGGAGCCAACATGTCCTCCAGCCCACTGTCAGGGCCAAGGATGGACTTCGGGCTGTAAGCAGGGATGATAAATCCTCAGAAATGATCTCTTGGTCTCGGGCTCTGACTATCAAGTTCAGGTCAATCTTCATCACTGGTCTTTGAATAATTCATTTTGTGCTCAGCAGTCGTAAAAAAGAACAAGGCTCGAAGGCTTTAGAGGTTTCTGATTAGGCAATAAAAGAACCACGTATCGCAACGTTCCCAGCTGACTAACTTGGGTCAATTTTTACTTTAAATCCACCCACACTCATACACCTCCCACCCTATTTCAGATACAACAATGTGTGTGAAAACACCATGTAAACTGTAAAGTCCTCCTTGGATTAAGTTATTT